GTCATGAGAAATTATAGTTTATATTCTCTCCTCTTGGCTATTTTCGAAGAGGTATTTTTGAACATTCATTATTTAAATTCGCTATTATTAATGGATAAAAATATAAACAGATGAATCAGACATATATAAGGATACAAACAACAACAAACTGTTGCTAAACAAGATGGCTACCTTGGAAACAGGTCTGTATTAAGGGCACGTGCACTAGGGAATTGCATCATCGCAGTTGGCTACATCGTGTCACCTGTCAACCTACTTATTTCCCGCCGGATATATCGATAGCAATACCATCTCGATTATTATCGATAGTAAGTTAATAGGATGTTAACTAACTCCTAGTAATGTATTCCTCATCGCTCGCTCACTAACGAAAACATCTCTAGTAGTTTTAAATAACTAAATTATAAATATATCGAAAAAAAGATAATTGTATTATTTACTTATTATAAACAATAATTAAAGTAAGCGCACTGGTGATGGACATAGCTAAGTATTTTATTGTCTTTTTTGGCTTATAATGCTGTAATTATTATAATTATAAACTTCTCCGTTGGACATTTAGAATCTCTAGAGTCTCCTTTTTCTATTTAAACCTTAAAATTGAAGAAATGTGGTTATGCAGGTATAATCTCCATTACAAAAACAACACCTTTTTGTACTAGTGGTGGACATCCCGAAATTTAATTGTTAAAGATAACATAATATAATTGTTCAACTTACTCTAAGCAAAACTGTTAGTAGGAAGGTATGAAACACACTGATTTCAAGAGCACTATAGAAACAACAATGATAGACATATCAAAATTTTCTTTTGAAAACTTTGTTCATATAGTGGTCAATAGAGTGTAGTGTTCTTTTATCTAGAAAAAACAGAAACAACTTTTAAATCTAAAAGGAAGCTTAATATTATATAAAGTCCAATCTGTCCATAACTGGGCCCCCTGTCTATAATTGGTACGTTTACCCTAACCCATCTTAAATATAAAGAAAAAAACACAGAGAAAAATGGGTTATAACTTGTTTAATTTACTGGATCTCAAAAATAATAAAATATCAGTTCAACGGTATAAAAAGTCTCATTATTTTTAAATATTTGATTCGTTTTTTTTTTGTTTTTTTTATTAGCAGTTTCCACAATGTCCTATCTAAGGTCCATTCTTCCCGTAGACCATGACCCACCATAGATTCCTCCACTTCGCTATCCCACGTCTTCGTCGTCTTCTCCTTTCCCTAGTTTTCCATAAGTGGACTTCTTTGCGTAGTCTTCCCTCAGGCATTCTTTTCAAATGCCCATACCACTTTTTTTCTCAATCTCTTCCAGAATGGTTGGTTCTTTTAGCATCTTTTCTCTGATGGGATTATTTATAATTTTAAAACACATAATAAATTTACTTTCTAAGCTGAATTGTGATATTAAAGTAAATGGGCTTGTTTTGGAACTGAGCGCCATCTTCAAAAATAAATTATCGTGTTGGTTTATTGTAAAAATTCAGTGACATTTCATAACCTTAAATTAGTAAAAATTTCGATGTTTTTCCTTTTGTAAAATAAAAAAATTATGTGCCTGTTGTAACAATACTTCATAATTTTTTGTATTACGCAATGATAGTGCATTTAATTTGGTTTAATAGGAATAAACAAGGTGCAAAATGAACTTCATGATTTTTCGCAATTGACTGACGTTATGCTCTGAAGTAGGTTTAAAATATTAATATTAAGCATAAAGTATTAATTCAGTATTGCTTTATCATAATTTGTTTAATTTTATTATTTTTCTTTTTTTAGGAAGCCTACGTTTATATATTTTTTCACAATTAAGAAAAAAAAACTTAAACTTCGGGACAATTTTCCTATCATCAGAGCAATCCTTTTATACACTGAAACATGCTTTTTTGATGTGGCACCATTTGTCAAAAATTTAAATATTTGTTATGTTCATTATATATTTATTTGGTGTTACACATCTTTTTTTATTCATTGTTACACTAGCCTACACCTTTCTTCAAATATTGCTCTGATGATGGGAAAATTGTTCCGAAACGTTAGAGGTGATAAATGTGAATAAAAGGATATGAAGGAAATAGGAAGTTTTTTTGCCTTGATTACGAAAAAATTTATTTTATTTGCAAGTAATTTGGATCAATGACTTCATTTTTTGGCGTAGCGAAGTGATCTATAAAAAAAAAAATTTAAATATCAGTTCCGCCTGGATTTTCTACAAGTTTGGTCCGCTATGTCTTGACAAATGATCATACTCCCAGAAGGGACTCCGCCATGATGTTTACAAACGGCGTACAATAGTTCCGGCACACTCATAGACAGTTTTTACCCCGAGGAAGAGGAACCCTGGTGAATTTTTGAAGCAGACGGGACCTTCCCCCGACGATCAATGTAAGCGGGTAGGGTGGCGTTGCCATGGTGACACCCCTGCGGAGCGGACCTCTGTCGATACTCTCGACAACTACTGTCGCCCCGCCATGGAGGAAATTAAACTCGATTGTCAAAGTCGATAATTGAATCGGATCTAGCGAGGCGAGTAGATAGCGCCTGTCAGTGAAGCCAGGACAGGGCCACGTCCGACGTTCGCTCCACCGTAACTCCATCACAGTCTCTAGGGCTAGTATACAGTTCATGTTTCATATACAATACAATAAAATGATCATCAGTTCCCATATACATGTATATGTATGCATACATGAAGCGTTTTAGGGTAGACTGATCTAAAGGTAAAATAAAATTAAAAATATCTGTGTATATATGTGTATATATATATATGATGTAGAGATGATTGACCGTTGATATAATATGGGAAGGAGTTAATGAGGGGATGCAGTCAAATAAATACTAAATTAAAATATAGTAATTATTTTAATTTTTGCCGACGTTTCGACCCACTTTGCAGGTCGTCTTCAGGGCTACAAAAGATGCAAAACATGTTGAAAATAAAAAATAAATATAAATAGATATAAAATAAGAAGAAGTTGTCAGATACAGAAACAAAAGATGATATCAGAGATATAGTTTAACTACATTGTCACCCACTATATCTCTGATATCATCTTTTGTTTCTGTATCTGACAACTTCTTCTTATTTTATATCTACTTATATTTATTTTTATTTCCAACATGTTTTGTATCTTTTGTAGCCCTGGTGAGGACCTACAAAGTGGGTCGAAACGTCGGCAAAAATTAAAATAATTATTATATTTTAATTTAGTATTTATTTGACCGCACCCCCGACTAACTCCTTCTCATATTATATCAACGGTCAACCATCGCTACATCATTAAAAATATATGTATATATATATATAAAACTATATACCATTCTTTTCAATTAGAAACTATGACTACTGTAATCATCCGAAGAAGAAATATATTTTACATAAATTAGGAAAACTATCAGCAACATTTTATTGATAAGCTATTAATTACGACGTTTCAGCCATACTAAGGCCTATTTACAAGTCTAGAAAATAGTAATATCATTATTAGTTAACATTTAACAATTACAAAAAGAATTTCTTACTACACATAATTAACTTGCCTAACGATTTATGCCATATTATTTTCGATACACATAAATTTATACAAATCCATACAAAAAAAGTATACACTTTTTCTTATAGCCTTACTTTTATTGTATAGATTTGGATAAATTTATGTGTATCGAAAATAATATGACATAGATCGTTAGACAAGTTAAATATGTGTAATAAGAAATTCTTTTTGTAATTGTTAAATGTTAACTAATAATTATATTACAATTTTTCAGAATTGAAAATGTCCCTTAGTATGGCCGAAACGCCGTAATTAATAGCATATGAATAAAATGTTGGTGATAATTGGTCTAATTTATGTAAAAAATAAAACCTCAAGACACCAATTTTAGGAAAAATGAACAGAAGAAAAAAATATATTATACATTCAATTTATATTATACATTCAATTTATATTATATTTCATTACATATTATTTAGTATTATATTTATATTGCAATTTGCTCACTGACCAGTGAACTATACGAGTTATTCCAACGGGTCAAATAGTTAATATTAAAAGATTTTGGCTTGTTTTTCAATATTATTTTCAATATTGAACCATTGCAATCGTCCAAAAAAATAAAAAATTAATCCTTGCTTCTCAAAATTTCAGGTTATACGTTTCACAATACGTAGAATTCGAAAATAGAATTTTAAAATACTTGTCCGTCTGCCGTCCGCAACTTTTTCCGAGACCACTGGAACGATTTTTTTCAAATTTGGAATCAATATCACCCTTCATAGTATTAATGTATATAGTATAGTGTAATATATGTGGTCATTTGTAACCTATTATAATAAAGTAGGGTAAGAAGAAAGAAACACCACAATGACAGAATTTAGTTAATTTGATTATCAAAATTTAAATAAACAAACCGTGGGAAGTGGAACAACATTGTTTACCTAATCTAGATCCTGGGATCTATTGGGAATAAATAATATATACAGGATATATAAAGAAATAAATTACCATATGTATTAATGTCGTATTAAATTTCAGTTAAATTTTTTAATTTATGGCAATTAAAAAAAAAAGTCATGACACTTAAAACACCATTTGCCTAGAGAAGAAATGATCTCATTTCATATAAATCGATTATAAAACCAGCAGTAATGTTGCAGTAATGCTAGCCATTATCGAACGCAAAGATAAATCGAGAGCTATTTCAAAGTCGATAATTATCTCGTGGAAAGGTGTAATCTATATTGAACCTATAAAACAGACAATCGATATCAAGCAAAGAGGAAAAAAATGGTAATGGAAATATTTTGCTATACATCAAGAACCAGGTGGTCTTATATTCTGACATAGATTATTAACTGATATTTAATATTTAAGTAAATATTCCAATTATACTTGACAAGATGTAGATAAAATCATTCCATATTTACTTAGTCCAATATATTATTAGATGACATTTCGCTGTTGCCTAATAAAGACTACGCATTCGAAGAAGGAATGGAAACGGTGAAAGGGTGCCTTCGTAGAGGACGTCATCGAAAGCGGTATCGAAGTCAGGCTAAAAAGGAAACATGCCGAAGTAAGGGGTTTATATTGATTAGTGGGTATGGGAAAGCAATACAAATTCTTCGATTGCGCATTTAAATAGATAAATACCTGCTTGGAGACATAAGCCTTATTTGTACCTAGTCCTGTCATAAATATTGTTACAAGGATATAATATAGATTTCAACAGAAAAATATATTTTTTTTTCAAAAATCTGCTGAAAAACTCAACTCAGTAAACAGATTATCATTTAGAGGCTTGACAACAGGTTCCAAAATATCGTCTTGATGGTTTTTAGAGGTTAGTTTTTAAGTCCTTTATTTTTACAAAAATGAAGCATTGTGGTGCCATCAAAGCAAACTCCCCACCAAACCATCACTGAGGAAGGGTGATGACCTGATGAAAGGGTGCCCTTTACACTCTTTAAATGGCTTCCTGGGCTCCTTTAAAGCTGTGTACATACACACGATCATTTTATCGATTAATTTTTTCTTCAATTGTAAAAATTCACTCATCGCTAAACAAAACCTTTCGATGAAGACCATTGGTGTAACGGCCAAGGATCACTTTTGTTTCACCCACTCTCATTCTTCGAAATGCACCCATCCAATAAAAATACAAAAAGAAAATACAATTAAAGATAATTATCAAGATGTTTCTGTAACATTCTAAACACAAGGAGCTGAGTCTCTAAAACACCATTAAACAAATAAACAGTCAACGTTTCGCGAATTCAGGCGTCTTCAGGACAAAATTAAATCACATATACTCTCACCAATAGCAAAACAAAATTAATAAACCTAATGAAAACAAATTTTCTAATTAAGTTTAAAAAAAAATTCTTAAAATTTAAATTCATCTCCTGGAGCCATGCTTTTCCCTCCACAGTTGGAGGGCCAAATCCGCTTTGAAATTCTCTCGCCAGATTGTAAATATTGTAAATAGGTATGTATGTGTTCTTTTTATTCATTTATTTTTAAGTTATTCTATTCTTATTTATTGTATGTATATATTATTTGTCTGTATAATTTATTTTATTTACTGTACATAGCGTGTGAATGTGATCTGTGAACACTATTATAAATGTCCTTGAGACAGATTGTAATATTTTTCAATAAATAAGCTTAAATAAAAAAAAAAATTAAACAAAAACTGAAGGAAAAACATTCTACCACATAAGATGAGTATAGTTTCTTCAATATCAATGATTGATGTACCAATAATGTCGATAAAATCATTTGAAAACAGTCCCTAGTTCCTAAATTCAATTCTCAATTCATCGAAAGCATCGGACCCCTCTTTAAAATAAGCTAAACGATGCGATCGATAAGGACAACGCTGAATTTAGGAACTTGCCTAATATAAAATAGCCCTTACTTGTTAAGTATACTAGTGAAGGAAAATACAATCAGGCATACTTAATGAAACCTAGTGGAATGAATTTAACTTTGATTCTAATTGAACGAACAGTTTTACAAAAATATGCGGGGTAAAAAACATACGTTCCTTAGGCATAAGACATAAGTGTTTAGAGAAACTTGAAACAACTCATATGGGAAAATCTTTGAAATATTAACCGATTTTTCAAAATCGGATTAAGAGTTATAAAATTCATTCTCGTCACGTTGATTTGACTTGACTTACCAACTGAATATGAATATAAACAGAAACGAAGAAGAAAATTAATGGTACATAGAATCTTTTTTTTTTTTTAATGGATAAAAAGATACTTTAATATTTTAAAGAAAAATTATTTTTTTAAAAATACGCCATAGAGTACAATTATATACCACCTTATAAACATGCGAAAACTAACCCTTCCGGCGGTGGAAGAATGAGCAGACATCGAACAAAGAATCGATACCCACACGGCAGTTCCCACCGGAACCGAGGCCACAAATGAGTTTTAACAAAGGCTATTGTCCATTGTCTCCCCACTCACTGATTAGCCCTCCCATTGCCATTGTCATCTCCTTTCTCAAACTATTACTAAAAGAGTCGAGCAGGGAGGAATGAGGAGGAGAGGGGAGATTTGGAGGTCCGGTCGTGGAAGAGAACTTGATGGGAGGATAAATAACGTCCGATAGCGGAGTGTGGGCTAACACCAATCGAATCCAAGAGGGGGTTCACACGACGTACAGGAAGTGAAAGGATGGCCGGAAGAGGAGTGAAGGTGATGCCGGCTAGGAGGCAGGCATGCGTACTACCAATTCCAACGGGGCACAGGAAGTATCGATGTATCCAAGGAGGAAAACACTATTTAGAAATCTATTAGCTCAGGAAGTATAGATATATCCTAGAAGGAAAGTACAATTTAGAAATCTATTTACACCTTACAAGGAATATTTTGTTAATTTATTATCATTAGTTGAAGCGCCAAATTAAAAAAAAAAAACAGCTAACTTCATTTTTTCTGTTTTTTATATTCAACATTTTAGTACTTTTTGATTATAAACTAACAAAAGGTCAGTCTAATGATACGAAGGCAAGGAGGTTGAGATGGGCGGGAGATAGAATTCGTAACTATAGTTAGCAAGAGACCATGTTGAAGACCGAAAATCATAGGGATGGATAGAATCAACAAAGATACTACAGGTCTGCATGCAGGTAGTCTAAAGAGTGAAATAATACATGAATTAAACTCCATGAAACGATTTTTTTTATTTATCATTTTTTTTTTACTTTTACCCAAACTGCTAATTAAAATATAGGAATTTTACATTTGAGTCTTAAATAACTAGCAATAACTTAAATAACGTGACGATGAAAATTCACCAAGTTATGTATAAAATTATTAAATGGAACATAGAAAGAAGACAAATGTTTACTAACATGCATTAGAAGAATATGAGATACAAGAAAAACATTAAGAAGTGAAAGAAATGTCTCTGAAGACAGGCAAAGAGTCCAAAACGTTGTATAAATAAATGATATATACTAAAGAGAACAATTTTCTTACATTATATCTAAAATTACAAATAACTGAATGATACGAGCTATGAAAATAGTGGGATGATTAATCAAATAAGCACCTATAAATCGATAAAAAAATTTCTCGCCCCTTACAACTCCCTTCTCATTGAATAAGAGAGTTGAAATTTTATTAAGTAAATTGAACAACTAATATTTCTGTGGTTTTGTTTAGGCTACTTTGTTTTGGCAACATCGCCATAGTAATAAATTAAATTTGGAAATTAATTATATAAAATGTTCAAAAATAGAACATGAGAAAGAATATATGCAGTTCAATTGATACTAATATACTAATAATATTTTTCGTTAGCATGAAGAAAACAATTACATCACTTATTATTTGCTTTCTGCACAAAAATAACGATAAAATACGAATTTAGTGATAAAACTCTGCTGTTCAGTTTTTTTTTTGCAAATAATTTTAACACGTTGGCCCATGGAAATAATTCTCATAGTATATTGGTCAGTCACAATTGATAATATAATATAGAAATAAATTAATACAATGTATTTTGAGATATAGAAAATAATTTTATTTTTCTTAGTTAAATCGCATCAGTTAAATCATAATATGTGCCTTTCAGTTGACAGAATGACTAATTCCAATTTCAACATTCTTGAGTAATGTTTTTTTATATGACTAATGCTTGTAATTTTAGTCATATTTTTAGTTGGAAAATTGACAATATCTGTAAAGACAGTGAATAAGTTGATGACTACAGTGTTGATATAAAGAACTTTGAATAAATTTATAAATTTACCCACTAGAAACATAACTGAATTAAATAATAAAAAATGGTAGATGATGTGACTATAATTCGTCACTTATAGTTATTCATCAATATTCATCGTTCCTGAAAGTCAGAAACGGGATCTACACGGCGAAAAATTATCGTATATTAAAGATTAATAATTGTGGATTGATGATTGAGTGTAGTGAATGATTGAAGAGAAGATTGTCTCGATTTTGACTGAACACCCCAATCAATCTACTATTCAAAAAAGATTGATAGTTTTTGGTTTAAAATAAATAAAGTATTGTTGATATTCAGGTAGTGAAGATGATCCAATATTCCTCTCGTTTATTGTTATTCAAAAATAACAACCGCTCTCTCGAATATTCCATCCTCTCTCTGGAACTCATGACTGATGAGGACGAACGAGATGTAGATAGACCATGACAATACAATGCATCGACGCATCCCGAGGTACCCTCCCCTCGACGTCGAGTTCAAAGACCCAGAGGAATGCCCTCAGTGCCGAAGACACCTTTCACCCATGAGTCAGTCAGGATGTTCCTTTGTCCCTGTGAGGATATACAGGGAGTGACCACAGAGGATGGTCGATGCGGAGGTATTGGATATCCAACATTACATGACAACCAGGTGACACGAACAGGCCAGAAGCTAACCGATGTTTGCTGTAGTGGCTGACAGATCGCGCTCGGCGCTAATTAGCTTGACATGAATGTGTACCAGCTAGGGCCATAGGAGCCTCAACGTAATTATATCCTGACGTTTATCGATCCCGTAGCAACATAGTACTGTTCACGCTGCCGACATTAAATATCAACTTGCCATTCCTACTACTGCTGCGACTAATGCATCTCTAACGTGCCCTAATGGCTAATCGAAAACCACTTTAATAGATTAATATTCCTTCCTGATTGGACGTCGGATATGCGTCGTTTAATTTCAGTTCCGGCGATCTGATGAATTTTCCATCTCAACTGGAGAAGAGGAAAGGGCACCTGTCGTTAATTTACAATATTCATAAGGCAATAACAATAGCGAATATAATACTTAACAACAGGAATAACAAAACATCATTCAGTTCAACACCAGGCATTATTAACAAACACCAAGACAAGCGATGCATTTGTGTTTATTTTATCCCTTCTTCAAACTTAATAAAGTTTTTTTTTTTGCGATTTCGTTAGTCATTAATGGAAATAATTTATTTATTTATGATATTATTAAAGAAGTTCATCGGGTACTGAAGTCATTATAAGTACACAAAAATAAAATATAAATTATTAGAAAAATATTTAAAAAACCTGTACCACTACAACTAATGTTGCCCAAATGCGAGACCGAGACAAGTCTTGCAAACTCAGTATTGGTCATGGTCTTGGTCTCGCAACAGTCTTGCAGTTACTTATTGGCTTATTACTATAGACATATTACTGTAAGATATGAGAAACCTAACTAAGCCCGAATGAAAAATTAGATGAGTTAAGTGCAAAAGTTAAATTGGTTATACCAATTATTAGCATGTAGTAACTAAAATTTTAGAGTATTAGTCATTATTTTGTCTTAATTTTAATTTTGAAAAATCTATTTTTTTACCATTCCTGGTCTTGTTCTTGCAAGAGTTAGGCGGCCTTGGTCTTTTAGGCAACACTAACTACAACGCATGATATACGCACGATAAGGGTCTCGGGTTAAGTACTAGGGAGGTGATTGGGCCGAAAACACGCACAACGATCAGTTTTACTTCTTAATCAATTATTTAATAAAGAGTAACCACATTATATAAGATGGTGTGCCCAAGGAAAGTCTCCCGAACTAAGGATCGATCCAGGACTATTGAAAAATGACTTATCATCAGCCGGACTAAAACCCAGGACCATGAGCTTTGAACGTCAATACTTACCCACTGAGCTACTCCACTCCTTATATATACAATTTTTTATATTGATCGATCTCAATTTTTTGTTTTGTTTTGTATCGTTTCGTATTTGATTCAACTTTAAATTTGAGAAACTTTTTCTGTATTTTACCGAAAAAGGATGAAAAATAATTAGTAAACATTATATTTATGTAGTTAAACGACGTATGAATTTTATGTTAGAATATGTTGAATTGTTTATTTATCAAAAATCAGATGAAAAAAACCTGCTGATAACTGAATATTCAGTTTCCAAAGGCAAATATAAATTCACAATGTTGTGAAGTATTCACGAGCCTAAAAACCGAATTTAATTTAAAAAAAAAAAGATTTACTAAAAAAAACATTTTTAAAGATAATTTATATTGAGCATGGCAACTGGAGGGGTAAATGTGTTGTTTTGGTTTGTCAAAAAATATAAATATATTAAGAGAAAAACTAGACTGAAATACAAAACTAGAACCATTTTAATTTAGGATTTTAATGTAGATAAAATTTTCTACAAAAAAAATATAATTTGCTTTGCAAAAACAATGCAGAGAGTAACGGCATGTCAACCAGTTCCATATTTCCTATTTTAAATAACTTAAATAACTGTTAAACGAAAGTAACAGTTAAAACATGACAATGCCAATTATCAATCTATGTTATTGGTGGAATAAAAGTTTTATAAAAAAATTTTAAAAGCGACAAAACTTTTCCATTACCAAGTGACAAAGTCTTTTTCTAGGTATGGTCTTTACAACCCCGAAGGTAGAGTGTACACCCAAATAGGGCAGAAAATGACTTAGATTTCGAAAAAAAACAACAGGACTTTCTAAGTTAACGGTATATTAAAGTACTTTGTACCTGACGAAGAAAAACTTAAAGTCTTCACATTGGAATATGGGCAGAGAATAAAGAAGACACTAAAATATTCCAAGTAGTAAATAACAAATAACTAAGGGACATACTAAATGGTTGAAACAATCAGGAACGAATCAGTTGAGGAGATAAAGCATGGGAACCAGCGAGTGATTAATCATCTTGATGTTCTAGCCAGTACCGCCCAAACGTAATCGATTATTTTTAAATACCTCTTTGTAATCCTCGATTCTAAGTTGTTATCGATAGTTATATTATCTTGATGTTAGAGAACAAAGAAGGGAAGACAAATTTTAATTGAAAATACTCAAATATATGTTGTTGTTTTTTAAAATAATTTTTGCATTACAATTCCCTAACATGAATCTATAGAAACATTAAATAATGATCCTTTTTTTTTTTTTTTTATAGAATATAAGGATATAAAATTACAATAACCTTACCACAACACTGAAATTTTAACTTGCCAATTTAATTGTTTTTATTTATATCTATTCCTCACGCCTAACTGTACGTATGACAGATATGGATGAAAATATGAAGAGAAAAAAAATGTTTTTATTACTAGCATTAGTACTAATAATAATAATAAATAATACCTCATTCATTACTTTCACTAATATTTTAAGGTCCTCATCATAATGTAAATATATAAGGTCCAATATAAATAAAATAAAATTATTGAATGAATATGAAAATGGTATATGGATGGTTAACTTTACAGGTGTCGTGACAATTTAATTTTTTAGTTGGAAAAACTTTAACCTAGGTTTGCAAACCGCCTTAAATGATCTGAGGTAGGAGACGGATTTTTGGAAGAAAAATGAAACTGTGGCTGAAAATCAGTTTGTATCAAAGAAAATTACAATAAGAAAAACTTTTAAACTATTTTGTTCTGTACGTAACCAAACGAAATAAAGCCGAACCAATGTGACAAAGAGATAAAAGAGAAAAAAAATAAATTTATAATATTAATTGATTTTTAAGTTAAGTTCAGTTGTTTTTTTTTATAATATTTGAAAATTCTATTAAAATTGAAACGTTAAAATATAGAAGAAATATAAAATTTCTTGTTAAAGGATTTTTTTATTAAAGAAATCAAATCAATGTGAGTGGTGTTGTATTTAATAAGACATTTTTTAAAAAAATGTAATTGATTAAATGCAATAATTAGATCAAGGTCCTACAAAAAAATAATAATAATAATAAAGTTTTTTATCATAGAAATAATTTATTTTATAACTTCGTAATTTGAATGGTTTATAATTTTTCCCTTTTTTCATTAATTATCTCTAATTACTTCTTGCCTATACGTCCAATTTAATAAATAATCACTCCAAATTTTTAGTATTGTTTATTTATTTATTTGTTTCACTCTTTACATGGTTGTTCGTAACAATTGGGGACCGAATCGGTCAACCAAATATTTCATTCATATATTTTCAAAATTATTTCATATTTCTAAATTTACGAACAATACTCCCATCTTTATTTTTTCCATTGTCACAAACGGCAAGTCCAGCTCACGGAAAGAAGATTGAGATTCTTCTGGTATTAACCCATTACATGAAATTACTAACGGTAAAATCCGGCTTTCTTTTAAATCATACAGTTGTTTTAATTCTTCTGATAATTCTACATACTTTCTTTTATTATTATTATTAATATTATTTTAATGTTTCAGGACTTTCATGAACAAATAAAGAGAGAATAATTATTTTATTTTTAATAATAAAAATTAATTATACCGAAACTTTCATTTTTTATTTTAATTTATTATTAGATTTCAGAAGTTAAAAACACAAACACTTAAAAATATTAGAATGTGGGAATAAGATTTTTACCCCTCACGATAACTAGGAATACAAATAGAGTTATTTGTTAAAGGAAGGAGATGGTTCTGAGTGGCGGTCATAAATAGGTTAAATAGTGGCAAAACTGTTTTATTAAAAGCCAACGTTTCGACCCGACTTATAGTTCTCATAGTTCCAAGTGAAACTCTTAGCTGAACACACCTCCCTGAAAAAGACCTGCAAAGTCCGGTCGAAACGTTGGCTTTTAATAAAATAGTTTTGCCACTATTTAGCCTATTTATGACCGCCACTCCGGACTATCTCCTTCCTTTATACTGCAACGACCAACTATTAAATATTCAGGATTATTTGTTGTTTTTTTTTGGCTAAATTAAAAGATAAAATGCTTTTTTTAAACAATATATAAATTAAGAATATAAAAATAACCAATAAAGACCACACAGATGTAGAGGAGTTTCGAAAGTGATAGCCGTAGGTGGAAATATATCCGACTTGGGTTCGGGGGTTTGCAAGAGGTGGAAAGGAGCCAGGGGACAGTTGTGAAAGGGTTTGCGGAAGAAGGGAAAGTAGTCCAAGGTTTCGAAGGGGGGAGGTTCCCTACGAGAGATCAGACGGCACAAGAAGTGGATGGACTAGGCGCAGGGGTAGGGGGAAAGATTGCACAAGGCGCTAATGGCTCATGAGATCTTGACCGCCTGACCGAGAAACAGGCCGGTCGGGGGGGAGTCATACACGAAGTAGCAGACTTCGGGGAATACGGGGGTTGTGACAGGTAGGTGAAAGTGAGGAGGGGTTAGTTGTAAACGATGAGTTCTTAAAAGTGAAAAGGCCAAGCGAGGTAAAAGTTCGAAGAAGTGTTAAAATAATAAAATTCATTAAGAAAAATAAAAATCGACAGAAAACAATAATTATAACTTAAAAATAATCAAGATAAATCTACCGGCAATAGACATTTTAAGAGAAATGTCAAAAATTAATGTGAACCACAGCTTAAGTTCTGACAGTGGATCTACGCGAAAGGATTTAACTCACAGCAATTTTAGTCTTTTATAGTTTTTTTTTATTTATACCCAATCAATTAGTTAATTATTCATACAGAACTTAAGGAATTATGGAAGCGTATTTTGCAACAGTAATTGGGGTAAAAAGGCTTTTATAAAAAATAAATAAATTCTCTATAGTTTCAAATAGATAAATAAAAATTTTAAACTCATCTCATAAAGAAAAGTGGTAAGGAAACCTCCTTGAAACAAACCTCAGCCTTTTTTTTAATTAAAAAATCAACTGCCCATCAGCTATTATAGCATGATATCACTTGAGTTCAGACATAACCCTATTAAGAATTTTAACTAAAAATCTACTCAATTGCATATCTATGGCTCTAGTGCCCTCTAGTCTCCACTGGATTACCAAGAGATGCGGCTGGAAGAGAAGCAATGGGATCTTCTGGAGTTCTGCTTTGCCTTTGACTTTTGGACGAGAAAGCTTGGATCGGAGTTCCCTGGGCGAATGTAAATATTGTAGATAGGAATGAATCTGTTAAGAATATTTATTTTATTTTTATTTATTGATTTATTTCTTATTTCGCCTAAGTATTATTTATGTATTTTATTCTATTTACTTTTTCTGAGTTTACTCATTTATTTTTATATTTACTTCTTCTTGGTGTATAGGGACATTATAAATATATATGGTATGAATGAAGACATTTAGCCTTCTTACTTGTTCCCTTCAATGTGGCAGATTCTACAACTCATATTTGCACTTTTTTTTTACGTTTAAAGCATATAATTAGTAAATGAGTAGCACAAACCATCTATTACTAGTACGTCTGTAACTGTTACATTTACCTTATATACTGTCAAATTATATATATATATATATATATATATATATATATATATATATATATTACATAATATAAAATATTCTAGTTCTACTGTAATTAGTTTGCATCCCGAGGGCGAACTCATTAGGAGAACAACGTGAAAAAAAATGTGAGTTACAACATAGGCAACAATATTTTTTTCCTACACTAAATAGTTACAAAATATACACAAATATATACATATATTGAAGACACCATCGCAATACTATCTACTCAATGCTGGTAAATATGAATGTTAGTAAATATTTTGAAAGTAATATCAAATTTATATTGCAGCTTAGTACCGTACCAGTTCAACCATGTTGAAATTTCACATGCTATATTGGTTAGACAGCAAATACAATTAATTTTAAGGGTTTTTTTTTATTCTCTCAAATAATAAATCGAAATACTAATACAAAATTCAATAGATCGTACTTTTGCCAAAAATAGTCCGATTTCCATAGTTTTTTTTATCATTTTGTAGAAAATTTAATTACCTTTCAAATGTGTAAAGTCGTAAATACTTTTGGAATTATACACAATAAAAAATTTCATTTTCTAAATATATTTGCTCTCTGGTTTTTCCTAGAAAAATAGTAGAACAAAAAAAAAAAAAAAAATAGTAGAATCTAGTCGACTATTAAGAGATATTGATAGATAAGTGTTGTGTTAAAAATATATCGCATGTTTCATAATCAACTTATGGGACTAAAAAAAAAAATGTAACTTCAGCTTGCAAACCCTTGACCGAGTTTGTCCACTCTTATCTGGCTGGTTAAGTAAGCTAACCGGCGATACAAAGACTTTATGGAGGATGAGGAAGACAAGAATGACGGGTCCGGACGAACCCCCAGGAGGGGATGGAATCCGAAGGTGGTCAGGTGGGGAGGGTCGTGGGAACGAAGAACAAGGTCGACTTCGGGGGCGGCAGATGGTGAGCAAGGACGGGAACTGGTTCCGCCGAAGACTGGGAGTCGTTGGGAAGCTGTCAAGAGATCTGAGATAGCAAGTCCCTGGAGGCGAGAGAACGTGCATCAATAAGTAAATGAAATAATCATATATTTACTTTACTATTTTTTCAATAATATATTTATATTGTTATAAGTTGCAGTAGGAAATTTAAGGATCGAAATCGATATTCGTCACCTCTATATCAAATCCCATTTCGTTTAGTACTTTATTGATAAAAATCTATCACTCTTCAGAGGCAAAAAAGAGGTCATACAAAGAAAATTAATATACTCTTTATTTTTTGTTGTATAATAATACAATCTGACACTTTTTAGAGAGCAATAAGTATTAGGGCTACAAGTGCTCATTCATATAATTAATAAAGAAATAAATATGAATGATAATAAATAAAAAAAAATAAATAAAGTAACTTGAACACATTCATACCTAAGTACAATAATTCCACTCGCCAAGGAAACTACCAGCCTAGCTTTGTCCTCCACATATGGAAGGCAAAGCAGGACTCCAGGAGATCCCAATTCCTCTCTTCCAGCCACGTCACTGGTATTGTATATACTACAATGTAACAGTGAAAGTCTACCGTCTGCCCCAGACTAACCTTGGGGAAGCGATGACCTAAAGAAACATCTCCGGATAATGGCGAGGTCTGGTGGAGGTAAAGGAGGCAAAAAAGGGGATAAAGAAAGAGAGAGACAGTTGGATAGAGGAAAGAGGAAGAGATAAATCGAGCTGACAAAGGAGAAGAGGGACAAAGAAGACAGGTGCGGTTGGATACCCGGCCAGGTAAGGAAAACCTGAGGGAAAAAGTGATGGCGTCCTAACGCCGAGCTCAGGTAACGCTACTAATCCACTCTCACTTACTCTTTAAAATACGCCTTAGCGACAGTTTCTGTCATGGTAGCACAGTCAAGACAGTGACAGTCAAACATATATACATAAAGTATAGCTTTATATCTAATAATTTTACATATATATAAAGTCTGTTGGAGTCGATTAATTTTTGAATTTGGAGCAAAATATCTCAGAAGCCAAAAATCGGACCTGGATACTGTGAGCGAGGGAAATGTTCATCATTTAATCCTCTTTGTCAAACACGAAATCGTATTATGACAGGACGCCGTGTTACAGAGGCAAAAAGGGAGAAAAAAAATAGTTTCGAAAATCAATATTTTGTATGAACATTTGGATTAAAATTACTCTAAATTTAAACGCTATTGAGGATTCAGAAATCAATTCGTAAATAGCTTCATCTCATTACCATAATGATAATGTAAGTTACCATTTACAAATATTTTATTTACGAAAATTCTCTCAATCTGTGAGATGGTAGTCACACCCATTTATTTTCCACTTGAAATGGTGAATACAAAATATTAGTCAGTTTTCCGTGACCTCATTTCCTTTCCAAAATGTCAAAATAACGAGGTTCTATAGACCAAACGTACCAATATATTTATAGGACACATTTTTTTCACGATTTTGTGATCATATTATGTTAAGATTCAAGTGGAAAGCAAATGGGAAATTCATGAGTTTTTAATATCTAATTATATAGACTGTTTGCCGATCTCCAGAGATTGAAAACGCCCCAATTTCGAGAAATATAATAAATAAAATATTTATAGCTTACGATGAGATAAAGCTAACAAATATTTTATTTACGAAAATTTTCACCATCTCACACCTATTTATTTTCCATTTGAATCGTAAGATATGATCACAAAATCGAAATAAGGTAGCCTACAAAAATATTGGTCAGTTTTCCGTGACCTCATTTCCCTTCCGAAATGTCAAAATAACGTTCTATAGACCAAACGGTGCAATACGTTTGTAGGACACATTTTTTTTTCAATTTTGTGATCATATTCAAGTGGAAAGCAAATGGGTATTCATGTGTTTTAGGATCTAATTATATCGAGTATGTTTGCGCCCTTCCAGATTGAATACACCCCAATTCCGAGAATTTTTGTAAATAAAATATTTGTAGGTTAGGATGAGATCAACGATTTTTTAGGCGTATGTTAATAATTTGATGAAAAGTGATCTGTACAACGGTTGTTCTTGTTATAAGTCATAAATTCTCTTATTCCAATTCCTCTTCCCAATTCAATCAGACGCTGGTTAAATAAATATTATGTAATACGCCTTTAATTTTCTTTAGACATAATTTTTTTTTCTCTTATTTTTATTTTTTTATTCTGTGTTGAATGTGAATTTTCATTACCACTAACAAAGTATTGTATATATATATATATATATATATATACTTTTTAAATGTATTTCTTTACATATTAACAGTTATTATTATCTTATTTTTTAATTGTTATATTCCATCACTACAATGCTTTGCCTATAAAGTTGATTTTGCGTTCCTTTCTAGTATTTAGTAATTATTATGCTATCGTTTTAGCTCCAATATTGTAGTACTGAACCCCTATTACCCAACTGTTCTCGTTAATTTATCCTAAAAGCTATTATACTTAATTTATTACTCGTATTTTGTTATTATTCATTGTAATAGGTCTTTTGGACAGATTTATGGTTAATTTATATGAACAATACTGTTATTCTAAGTGGACCTAGTCCCAGAATAAAAATGATTTTTCTATTCTATCTATTCTATTAAATAAGATGACGTCACATGTTAGCACCTTAATTAACTTGGTTTAAAAATTATTTGGAGCAACTGGTTTCAAAGTTTAACATCGGTCGTTTTAACGTGAGTTAGTGAACAGAGAATGTTGGGACTTTAATCAAGACTGTTGGAGTTTTTTTCTTTTTTAATATTATTTCTAATGAATGTTCGACTCAGAGGATCGGATGAGGAAAGAACGGCTTGATCTTTGGATCACGGTTGCAGTCAAGATCTGTTGTGCAAGCTCCGGGTGACTGCCTCGAGTAACACAAAGGGATATAAAAAGGCCTAAGACACCGAGCCTTGTGACATTTGTGACAGAGGTGTGACCTTTGGCAAGACCTTTCGCTCCCTGTGACGCCTACTTACTTCTTCAGGTTCTTTTCTTGCAGGAGTTGCCTGTCCTTCGCTTCGGATCCGTTCGCTTTCGACCTCTACAGAATTCACAGTCATTTCAAATCACTTGCATTTAAAAAAAAAAATATTTTTTAATAATAAAATACAGGCAATAGTCTTTATGCGGAAAATGAAAGCATATACATATATATATATATATATATATATATATATATATATATATATATATATATATATATATACGAAAATACCAGACTGAAACAGCTCGACGTTTCCGATTACTTCAGCACTTACTAGACAAACACTGTAAACTTCCAATTAATTACAAAAGACTCATATATATGACTTTAATAAGGCCTATTTGGACTTACGGAATTGAGCTATGGGGCTCCACTAAACCATCGAATTCCTCTTGTATCCAAGAATTTACTCCTTAGTAAAATCCTCAATGCTCCCTACTTTGTTACAAATAAAACCATCCATAATGACCTTAATGTTTCTTTTGTTTCAGATCTGGCCCAATCCAGATACCTATCCTTCCATAATAAACTTCAGAATCATCCCAACCCTCTCGTTTCTAACCTTACTTCCTCTTCGATTCCTGAAAAGAAGGTGGCCCCGTGATCTCCTAATGTAGACATATCATTAGAGTGCTACCATTGGGTAGTTACTCTGCAAGTGTTTTCAAGTCATTAAATCCATATGTTCAAATTTACTAGATGTATTTATTTAATACAGTTGTAAATATCATTAAGAAATAATAAAAAAATTGGAGAGTTTTCAATCAGGAGATCGGCTAACTTTGTCTGTTTAATTATTAAGTACTAAAAACTCGTAAATACCCATTTGCTTTCCACTGGGATCGTAATATAATTTGATCACAAAAAAAAAGATGGCCTACTCGTTATTTTGCATTTTAGAGGTGCAGGTCACGCCAAACCGCTCAATATTTGTTTAAGTCATTCTTATTTTTTTTTCGAATTTGTGCTCAAATTATCTTACGATTCAAGTAGAAAGCAAATGGATATTTAAGAGTTTTTATTACCTAATTAAATAGACAAAATTCGTCGATATCCAGATTGAAAACATCGCAATTATGAAAATTTTCGTAAATAAAATATTTGTAGGTCACGATGAGATGAAGCTATTCAAGAAGTTTCAGACTGATGTTAATAATTTGATAAAAAGGGGACTATACCACGGATTAATATATTTACACCTTTAACACATTAATATATATTGTAAACTGTATGTTTACAATACAAGAAATGCTACCTGACTTGTTTCTATTACTTAAAGGTAGGAGATCTCTCTTTTAAGTCTCTTCCGCTAATTCATGAATATGTCAGATGTGATCATGTCTCTTATTAATCTGTTGTTTTGTCCATTAGTTACAATTTATCTAGACAAGATAAGATGGGAAGAAAGTATGAAAATGGACGATTTATAAAATATTAATTCATATGATTAATATGCTCTTATTTTATTATTTAATAATTTACACTAATCCGACACTCGAAAATTAGGCACTAACCATCCCGCTATAGAGCCGGATTACAAGATTTGACATAAAAATTATTTAGGTATACTTAAAATCTATTCAGATAAGATAAGATTGTAGGATGGTATTATAATGGACGATTTTGCATTGAATAATATGATTATGTGTTGTTTTTTTTTACCACTAATCCGACACTTGGAAGTTCGGCACTACCTCTTCCCCTCTGTAGGGCCGGATTAGCAAGGTTTGACATGGACACAGTCCGAAATGGGATGACCTTTCCAAGTGGCCACCCCGGTAACAATAGACCAACCTTTACTTTCGATCAACAACGCCCGGATTGCGGTCAATGTCTGGCTGTCACTATATTGTCAGTGCGAACTATAGTAAACATAATTATACTTTAAGTATAGTTGCGAACTATAATACGGGGTATAATACATAATTATTATTAATTTATTAAATTACTCCCTATAACAAAACATAAAAGATATTCAAGCTGAATAACTGTTATAACCTTACATCATTATTTTATTATTGTTAATTAATAATTTTTTATAAAAGTAAATAAACAAAAAATAATAATATCGTGGTGTTAATCTCGTGATTAGAGTATTGGAAAAAAATCATAATTTTAGATTGATAAAAAGTAGTCGTTTATAATCACGTATTAACCAATATTTTTTTTTATTAACAAATATATAAATATCTGGAAACTATTTAAATCTTTTTCCAGAAGAACTAGATATTTTCATTTAAAAAAAAAAAGTGGTAGTAAATGTATCAATAATAATAGGAACTACTTATCATAAAAAAAAAAAAAAATTAAAAATGGGTAAGTAGTCGACTGATCTATAATAAGGATGAAACAAAATTGACAGAAGTTTCAGTAATTTTTCTTATTGGATTAGCCGACATTAAACTGAGAGTTCTTGTCCCGAATTCTGAACAATAGCCCTGATGATGACCCACATATTTGGGTCGAAACGTCGGCTAACCCAAAGAAAAATTCTTAAAGGAAATTTTGTTTCATCAAAACAAATGTAGTTTATATACTACTTCTGTACGGATTGATGGATTAAATTTAATTGATCTCTATCAACGTGTTCTAAATTGTTCCAAATAACTACAAATTTTAGGGTTCTTTACACATTAGTCACGCCAGTTACTTTTTAAATAGGAAAAAGTAACTGTTATAGAAAAGTATCAGTTACATTTCAATCAATGTTGTTATTCTTTTATTATATAAACATCTGTTAACAGATCATATTTTATATGATTAAAGAAAACACATGATATTCTGATAAAAACACATGATTCCTGATAAGCCTTCCTTCTCTTTGTTATTCAAAATGGAGTAAAACCTAAAGAAGTTCATTTTGCTAACTAAATAAATCAGTTAACAGATATTTAAATAATAGAAGAATAACAACTTTGATTCAAATGTAACTGATATTTATCTATAACGATAACTTTTTCCTATTTGAGAAGTAACTGATGTGCCAAAGATTCCAAATTTTTTCTAGATATTTCTGAGACAGAAAAAAATATCTTCACGTAAAAATCTTTCAATATCTACGTTTAGTTTGAAATAATTTTTTTTCAGTTTCGTTATTTTGCCAAACATACACGACAATATAATTACATACGAAACCTGTTACTAATACATGGTTCATGAAATACATACAATTTAAACAAAACAACATGTGTGCAATGAATGCGAACTTGGCAAACAGCCATGTGTCTAACCATATGGTAGTCTATAGAGAAAATGTACTCACACAAGGCAATAGAACGAGGTTATCAACAATAGAGAGAGTGAAAATAAAATTATATATTAGTTGTTAAGTGCTTTTCTTAAATAAAATAACTATCTCAAAGATCCAGAAACTAAAATTAATTGAACATCATGGGATAAGAATGTAGAAAAATGATAAAACAACAACAAAAGGAAATAAAAAAAAAGAAGATAAATAGGAATTAATACAAAAGCCTTAAACGATAATGACATGCTCTTTGGCAAGATAAAATCTGACGCAACGATTTCAAGGACGTGATCGACACCACGTCTTATCGAAACTCTTCAGACTGTTTTCGACGTGTTTTATAAATAGAATAAAAATTTTAAATGGCAAAGTTCAATAAGAAATTTAGATTATACACACACGCACACACACTAATATAAAGACATGCATTGGAATGCTGTGTAGGTAACGGCTAAAGCATGTGTGTTGGTCGGAGCTATTATACGGGGAGATTTTTTGCCTCGGTTCAGCCGGGAGGAGAGCTCTCATCTCCCGACAAAAGGCAGACAAAGCAACCCCCACCGGTTCCAGGCCACACTGAGCTTCGTGTCCAGTTTTCTTTCTTTTTTTTTATTTCTTATCGCCACAAGGTCTGTATGATACCTGGCAGGATTGGGCTTCACCGACAAACCAGTGTAGTAAAGAACACGTGTTACGAACATGTATATGTCTATATATCTATATATAGTATATGATGATTTTCAATGATAACCTATATGAAATAGTAAATAAAATAAAAACATATATCGATACTTGATTTTATTGCCAATTTCGATAAAGCTGATTGAACGATGCTTAGTCTGAATGACTTTGACTTCATGACGTTACTACTGAGGAATCGTTACATAATATCACGTTTGACGGGAATGATAAAGGCGAGAAATTAAGAAAAAAATATTTTTATTTAGATAAAACACTTTCAAATGTGAATTAAGAAGAAAATATGAAATTATCTTGACACATCAACAATAAGGTTTTCCCAAAATAGTCATTTTAAGTATAAAATTCTTTAACTCTATCATGTATCTATTGCGTCTGCTGCATTATTAAATATTGAACCCTCTCTAAGTTAATATTATATTAATATACAGCAAGAAACAAAATTGTCAGGATTTACAGTCAAGAATCTTCATTAGATTAGCCGACGTTTCGACCTAAATGTGGGTCATCCTCAGGGCTATCTTTGCAACTCTATTCTTGTCTCGACTCTTAAACGAGAGCCCTGAGGATGACCCACACGTTTGTGTCGAAACGTCGGCTAACCTAATAAAAATTCTTGACTGGAAATCCTGACAATTTTGTTCCATTCTAATAATTGATCAGTCGAATAATTACCAGTCTTTTATATTAATAAATGTTAATGAGAAAAATAATACAACATAGAATTTAAGTTTTAAGAAAAAAATGTTAACATGACGCCGAAACGTAGTCAACATTTATCAAAAAATATCGATACTTATCCTAAAGTTTAATTAGTTTGTATGAATTTGTATTACAGCCATCTCCATGCAACTGCATTCTATTTTTATTTATTCGATCTATCCATCTGCTTTTTGGCATTCCACATGGCCTATTGCCTACTATTGAGGCATTTATTTTTGTTTAAGACTTCCTGATGGATTGCTCCGAGCTACCTATCCTGCCTATCTTAACCTCCTTGCCTTCATAAAACATAAGATAGTGACTGACCAGTTTGTGTAAGCAGTTCTTTGATGGTCTTTCTCCTTCAAGCGCTAGTACTCAGATCCAAATTAAAATGTATTAGTTATCATCATAATGCACTGTTCTAC